TATGTGCTGGAATGGTAATACGTTGCCAAGAGTTTCTAGGAAATCACAGATTTCCAAGCTACGGTGGAGATCAATCTTAAAATGGAGCAAATATGATAATGTATAAAGCTGTCAGAGATACAATGAGCTGAACACATTATAATAGTAGTAACTTAAAAGTATCGGCAGTCAGGAAATATTCCATTAGTGACTTTCAGAAAGACATCTTTTTTTCCTTCTTTTAGTGACTGATTATTTTGTTTTCAACTTCAGCCAAAATCAGTTTAAAATATTGTTTTGATTTGTAGCTAATGCATTTAATCTGGCACTAACCATGTTGCCAAAAGCTTTGCCTCAATCTCATCTTAATCAGTTTACACTGATGCGTTAGCACTTGCTACTCTTCCCTTGTCGAATCGGCAGCCAGGCTGCTTGATCAGCTGTTAAAACACAATGGCCATCTAGAATAAAAATGCAGCTGGCATTGAGGCCCAGGAACCAAAAATCATTTGAGATCCACAGATCCAGCTACTTACCAGTGTTGGCCTCCATATTTTTTCATCCTTGATGACAGCTATTCATCTGGAATATTCCATGGCTGTGTTCACAGTTGGAGAGGCAGATAAAAAACTACAACTGTACAGCAAGCAGAGATTGACTCTGAAGTTCTTACATCAGCAGTGACCAGTAAGGAACATTTGCTTCCATGATATGCAACATAGTTGTGACTGCAGAGCCATGTACCTCTCCATTTGGTCTAGGGATGTGTCTGCTCACACCGATTGTGTCAGGGAGCATCAGTTGAAGTTGATGCTCCACTTCAAGCATGTCAGCTTCCACAGGATCCCTGTGGTTGGGGTGCAGCTGGTTTCTGAATACTTGGAAATCCAGCCTTTGCCATATCACAGTCTCAGATCTAGAGGACTGTGCAAGTGAACTGTGCATACTTAGACAACGGCTAAAGAAGATCCTTATGCTGTATGAAGTTGCCGTATTTAGCTAAAACAATCAAGTGACTGTGAATTTTAAAGTAATTGCTGGTGTTGAAGTTAATTTTGTGTTTTATATGGCTTGATGTGAAATATTACAGTAAATGAGAATTAAAGAACATTTCTTCAGTTGCCTCTTAAATCACGGTTCATCAGAGACCTGAAAACTAGAAAAAGCCCTTGCAGAATCTTCTAACTTAGAATGGGAAAAGAGCACTTTAGCACACTATTCTTATTTGTATGCATAGCTAAACTGTGTGATTGTGGTATGATGTAACTACTATCTGAGTTTAATCAATTTCAGAAAAATAACAGTGAAGAAGCAGTGACACTGGCTGCGAGATATATTTGTCTACAGTAACATGCTTGAAGTGATCTGCATAAACAAATTTTACCAACACTCTGGATGTTACTGTGCTGAAACCCACAGTTGCAACTGCACTCTGCTATCCATGTCAGCTAGCACAGAAAAGTAATCATGCAACTCTTTATTTTGTGTCCATATGTACTTCATGGCGCAGCATAATTTATCTCACCCAACTTCATCTGTCTAAAGTGTCGGTGTTTACTCCAAGGCATTCCTTTAACCTCTTCTGTCCATTCCAGTTTTCATAGATTTCTACTGCAAGACAGTATGAATAAGCTGCTTGTCTTTTCTTTGGGCACGGAAGGAGGCTACAAACTGGTTAAGATTAGATGCCTAACTGAAGTTAGGAGAAATTAGTAGCATTTTGTAGGCTATATCTGCTTCTTGCTCATGTAAATGTCTCTGAGGTTAAATACGAGCTTTTCTTTTCCTTTCTTTTCTTTTCCTTTCTTTACTCTTTTATTTTCTTTTATTTTTCTTTTTCTTTTGCAGCACTGAGACACCACATGGCAATATGAACTGCATAAAGCACAGAACTAAACCTTTAGCCATTCCACTTCAAGGAATTATTGTCATAGAAACAAATCCAGCATTTAAAGCTAAAAAACCTTAAAAAATGCAGCATCTTTCTTTATTATCCCTTGGACATCAAAATACTCAGCAGAAGCACAAATTGCCATCTTCACGCTGCATTTGTGGAAACTGAGCAAAACAGAGCTTCATAGAATATTCACAAAAATGGTCCCTGATTTAGACAGACTGATCTGGTTTCTAGTAAAAAATCTGTCCAGCTTCTATTGAAACGGTAGCTTCTCACTAATTTGAAAAATAAGGACAAGGTCTTAGAAAACACGAAGTTTGCTTTCCAATAAGATGAATTACCCAGATCACTTACAAAGTCAGTAACTGACATGAGAACAGAAACTTGATACTGTCTTCCTTTTTCATTTGAGCACATCAGACTTTAGAAAATATAGCAAGAGACATAAATTTCTTTTATAAGCAACATGCAAAGTATTTTTATAATATTAATAAATAAGCATACATGTAACTAAGTACTAATACATAAAAGGTTATTATGCCCTTCATATAAACTTTAATGTCTATTTCCCACAGGATTCTCAGGATCACTTTTTAAAGATTATAAAAGATGTGGAGGAAAAGCCAGAATAAAAATGACCTAACTTACAGATTTACTGTAAAGTGATGTGTGCACCTCAGGAGTGACTATGTTTTCACTGTTCCCTACTACGTGCTCAGCAGCTGGCAGGCACACTCAGCAAGACTGGAGCTTGGGAGTAACAAGAAGCTACAATCTTTCTAAGTATTTGTTAGAAAAAGTATTCTAACTTTTTTTATGAGATGACTAAAACTGAAAAAAATCTGAAATACCCAGGAATTTACTTGAAGGCACAAAGCATTTCTTAACCAAACTGGAATTTGCATGTTTACCTACAACAGAGATTTATGAGGTGGATTGCTCTTGACTAAACCACCGTATTTGCAAAGCAATGTTGTAATATGGGAATATACTGTTAGCTGATTATATTTATTGAATCACACAATGTTCAGTCTGCCACCCTTGATGACCAAAAGTTGCAGCCATTGCCTATTCTGTTGACAAAGACTTTGCCTTTTAAATTTTTTT